TCCAGTAATGTTGCAAGATATAAAATAAACACACAAAAATTGTTGTTTCTATACATTGACAATGAAAAAACTGAAAAGAAATTTAAGAAAACACATTTATTTATTATAGTACCAAAAGAGTAAAATACTTAGAAGTTAAGTTAACCAAAAAGATGAAAAACTTACACAATGACTATAAGATATTGCTGAAAGAAATTTAAAAAGTAATAAATAAAAAGACATTCTGTCTATTTGTCTATTAATTGGAAGACATATCGTTAAGATGACAATATCAGTGAAGTGATCTACAGATTCAATTCAATCCAATTAAAATCCAACAAATTTATTGCAGAAAATGTTTAAAAACTTTCACCCTAAAATTCATATGACATCTCAAGGAATCCTAAATAAACAAAATAATCTTGAAAAAGAAAAACAAAGGTGGAGACATCACACTTCCTGACTTCAAAACTTACAGTAATCAAGCTACAGTAATCAAAAAAGAGTGTGGTGCTAACATAAAGACAGACATCTACACCAATTGAATAGAATAGAAAGCCCAGAAATAAACCTTCCCACATATGATCAAATGATTTGTGACAAGCATGCCAAGACTATTGAAGGAGGCAAGGACAGTCTTTTTAATAAATGGTACTGAGAAAAATTGGAAATTCATATGCAAAAGAATGAACCTGGATCATTACCTTAACACCATATACAAAAATTAATTCAAAATAGATCAATAAATCAAATGTGAGATAAAAACTAAATACTTTTAGAGAAAAAGAAAACAGGGGAAATGCTTCATGACACTGAATTTGGCAATACTTACTTAAATATGAAACCAGAAAGCATGGGTAAAAATTTAAAAATGAATTGGACTTGACCAAAATGAAAAACTTTTGTGCATCGAAAGACCCCATTAATAGAGTAAAGAGGCAATACAGTGAAGTGAAGAAAGTATTTCCATAGCCCATACATAATAAGGGATTAATATCCATAATATATAAATGACTCCTATAACTCAATGGCAACAACAAAAACATTTTGATTTAAAAATGGACAAAGGACCTGAATAGACAATTCTCAAAAAAAGATTAAAAAAATGGCCCAAAGATGCCTAATGTCACTAATCACTAGGGAAATGCAAATAAAACCACCATGAAGTGCCACCTCACAATCATTAGGGTAGCAAATAATCAAACAACAACAAGGAAGAAAACACAGATGCTGACTAGGATGTACAGAAATTAGAACTCTTTGAACAGCTGGGACTAGAAAATGGTGCAGCCACTGTAGAAAACATGGTGGTTTCCCCAAAATTGACCATAGAATTACCATTTGATCCAGTGACTCCACTTCAGGGTATATAAACAAAAGAATTAAAAGCATAGACTCAAACACGTATTTATATACAAATGTTCATAGCAGCCACTATTTGCAATAGCCAAAAGATGAAAACAGTCCAAATGTGCCTCAAGGGATAAACAGATAAACAAAATGCAGAATATATACATACAGTGGAAAACTATTCAGCTGTAGAAAGAATTTTCTGGTACATGTTATAACACTGATGAGCCTTGAAGACATTATGCTACATGAAATGAAGCAGACATAAAAGGCCAAATACTGTATGACTCCACTTACATGAAATACCTGAAATCGCCAAATACACACAGAATGTAGGATAGTGGTTTTCTTAGCTTAGAGGAGAGGGAAGGGGGAGGTATTATTTAATGGGTACTGGGTTTATATTTGGGCTGCTGAAAATACCTGGAGATGGATAGTGGTCATGGGTGCATAACAATGTGGATGTACGTGCCACTGATGTGTGTCTTCGAAATGATGTCGATGGTAAGTTTTGTTATATAGGTTTTACCACAAGAAAAAAAATAAGTAAAATACCACAAGAACAAAAAAAAACTGGATCATCCACTTTTCTATGCTTTGCTACTACAATAACTCACTTGGCAGAATAATCTTCCTCGGAGACATTAGTTAGCCTATAAGTTCCTTACCAGTAACCCATGGTAGATTTGTAGTGACCACCACTTCCCAAAATGTGCTCCCTAATGCGTGTGACCCTATGTGCTCATCTTCTATCTGCAGATTTAGAAGAGTGATAGGAAGAGGAGCAGTTAAGTGGAAAAAGGAACAGCTGTGTGGGAATAAAGGCAATCTGAAAAAATGCAGACTCCATTTCAAAGAGGAAAGGCAAGCGAATGCCCTGAATCTTAAAAGACACGGGACAAAGTACTTAACTGAGAAGGGTCTTTCTGCATCTTACTTCCATAAATGAGAATAAGAATAAAAATGCACATATCACTGTATATTTTGTAGGGAGGTGTATACATATATTAAGAGAAATAAGGCAAACCTAGCAAAGTGCCACCGGTGGGTGACTCTCAGTAAAAGGTATGGTATATGAAATTTTCTTATCATTGCTTTTCAAACTAAAATTTCACTTAAAAAAATTAATTATTAAAAGTACAATTATCTACCCTGGCTGCTATGGCTCAGTGGATTGAGTCCTGGCCTGCAAACTAAAAGGTCACCAGTTCAATTACCGGTCCGGGCACATGCCTGGGCTGTGCATGGGCCAGGTTCCCCGTTGGGAGTGTGTGAGAGGCAACCAATCAACATATCTTTCACACATTGATGTTTTTCTCCCTTCCTTCCCCTCTCTCTAAAAGAAAATAAATAAAATCTTCCTTTAAAAAAAGTACAATGATCCACCCTAGCCAGTGTGGCTCAGTTGTTAGGCATCATCCTGCAAAGCAACAGGTCACAGATTTGGTTCCTGGTGAGAGCCCATATCTGCCTGGGTTCTGGGCCCCCTCCCCAGGTGGGGCATGTGTGGGAGGCAGCCAATCAATCTCTCTCTCTCTCACACTGACGATCTTTCTCTCTCCCTTCCCCTCTCTCTAAAACATAGAGAAAGAAAATCCTTCGTGGGGGAGAAAAGAACAATTATCCCATGGGACTTCTGACAAATTTTTGATTGCCATTGTAAATATTAAAATGGTTTCCTATGAGATCTGTATATGTTTCATTATATGAATATATAAACATGGTTTTACATTCAAATGTCTCAAATGTTCAGTTTTATATTTTAAGTCCGATATTCAAGATGCTTTTAATACTGTTTAAAATACCAGCTCTATCAGTTACTACTTACGTGGCTTAAACAAGTAGCCTCACCTAGCTATGCCTAGGTTTTTAAGGATAATTACTTCTTTAATTTCTTTCAGCAATATCTTATAGTCATTGTGTAAGTTTTTAAGGAGATAATGGAAGTAAAATTGAAGTTCCGTCCAGAGGTTGTTTTGCCAATAAAATTAGAAAAAGAAGTAAAAAAAAACATGAACAGTGAAAGGACAACAAACTCACAGTTATTAACAACCACACCTAAAACAAAAGCAAACTAAGAGGACAGCTAGATCAGGAGTGGAAACATAGAAATGAAGATCTCAAGGAGGGTTAGCAACAGGGGAGTGGGAGGAGGAGAAGGGGGGAGAAGGTACAGAAAATAAGTAGCATAGACAGTAGATAGAAAATAGATGGGGGGAGGGCAAGAATAGCATGGGAAATATAGAATCTAAAGAACTTGAGACACATGGTCATAAACTAAAGGGGAGGTAATGGCGGGGATGGGGGGGTAGGGCGGAGGGGAATGAAGGGGGGAATAGAAAAACTGTAACAGCATAATCAATAAAAAAAATAAATTAAAAAAAGAAAATAGACAGGGGGAAGGCAAGAATAGTATGGGGAATGTAGAAGCTAAAGAACTTATAACACATGGACTTGAACTAAAGAAGGGGAATGTGGGTGGGAGGGGTGTGCAGGGTGGAGGGGAATGAAGGGGGGGAATGGGACAACTGTAATAGCCTAATCAATAAAATATTTTTAAGTGGAAAAAATATTAGATACTTTATATCTTATATCTTAGCATAGCATGCAGCACAAAATAATATTTCAGGATCTGTGTGTCCAATCAGATGAAGACTGATTGACAATAATTGCACTGAGCCAAAAGTCCACTGGGTTGTGCATTTCAACATGATCTGCAAATCATAGTATACTAAGAAACAAGGTATATACAATATAATTTTTTATCATAGCAAAGCAGTAAACAGATTCAAACACACTGCTCCTATACCACTCCCTTTAGTCTGATTCCTCAGTGCAGGTAGGGAACACAGACTATAGCAAGACCAGGAGCCTCTAACTGCAGCATTATAATGGCTGGAATTATACAGTCCCCTCCTTAGAATAAAGATTAAAGGAAACTGTAAGTAGATGTGACAGCAACAACTACTAACAGCTTTATAAAAACTTGGCCTCTGGGTTCTTAGATGTGGAGGAGCCACAAAAGTTTGAGCTTTAAAATAACAAAATGCAGCTGTTCGATTGTGTTCAGAACTGGTTTTCAAAATTCACTTCCAGAAGCATTACCCGAACATATTGTTAAACCCAGATGGATGCTGTTATGCAAACAAACACCAAAGAGAGAGAAAGAATCTAAGAGTGAGTTGGGGGTGTTGGTTGGGTGCAGAGAAAGGGAGGGAGAGTTTTGACTAGCTATTTTTAATTAATAAAGATCAGGCATGTGGAAACTAAATTTACTTCTATACAGACACTACAGAACTTTCTCATACATACAACTAATAGAAACTATCTCTTTAGATTATAATTGCCTGCAAGCTTCTTGATAGTATTGTTATGTTCTGTGCATTCTAATGCCTACCACAGAGACCGACACAGCAAGGCAGCTGGGGTCCTATGGGAGCTCCTTCCACTCTACTTGCCGCTGCCCTGAGATGAGGTTCCAGAGCAGCACATCCAGGGATACACCCGCACCTAACTCACTTTGCAAACAGGCTGAGCTTCCTCAAACTAAAGCTAGCCCCAGACCCCCACAGGCCAGACAACCGGCAAGCTGCCCACTCTTCAGTGGTCAGTCTGAATCAGAAGTCAAGTTTTGAGTCCCAGACAAAGTGAGAGGTAAAAGATGGACTTACTTACACCACAGCAACACAGGTCTGAGAACTGTCTCAGATGCTCTCAGCTCTTCTGTGCTCTTTCTACCTTTCTGTCCCTCCTTTATAGGGACTAAAATAGACTGAGAAACATAACCATTGGTCCAGTAAAATCTAAAATGATCTCATCAAACTGAAATTGAAAGTGAAAGCAGTTCATGGAATATTTATAGTTAGCAAGGGAACGGTGAACCACCTGAGAAGGACGTGAATAAGTGTGTTCTGTGCAGCATCGGGAAGCTGCAAAAAATTCAGTTACTGGGTAGTCACACCTTAGTAAACACACTTCACCAGCCGTCTTGTGCCCTCAACATCCTGAAAGGCTTTCATTAACTCTCTTACAATACACCTCTCTCAACTGGTAAATTTTCCTTGGCACACAAGAGAAATAGAAAATTCCTAGAAGAAATATAAGCAAAGCTGTATAAACCAAGTATATTTCCAGCATTTTTCTCTCACTGGGATTCCTGGGGTCTTTGGTTAATGAAGAGATTTTATTGATAGCATTTTGCATATATTCCCTAATACATATTTAATTAAGCCCCGACCAGTATGGTTTAGTTGGTTGACGCTATCCCACGAAAGGTTGCCAGGTCGATTCTGGGTCAGGGCACATGACTGGGTTGCAGGTGAGTATGAGAGACAGGTGATCAATGCTTCTCTCTTATATCAGTCTTTCTCTCCCTCCTTTCCCTTCTGTCTAAAAATAAATGAATAAAATATATTTAATTAAACAAGTATTTTTTTCCTTTTTAATATAGTTTATTGATTATGCCATTACAGTCACCCCATTCCCTCCTTCATTCCCCTCCATCCTGCACACCCCTCCCCCACATTCCCCCTCCTTCAGTTTGTGTCCATGTGTCACAAGTTCTTTAGATTCTATATTTCCCATACTATTCTTACCCTCCCCCTACCTATTTTCTACCTACCATCTATGCTACTTATTTTCTGTACCTTCTCCCCCCTTCTCCTCCTCCCACTCCCCTGTTGCTAACCCTCCATTCGATCTCCATTTCTATGTTTCCACTCCTGATCTAGCTGTCCTCTTAGTTTGCTTTTGTTTTAGGTGTGGTTCTTAATAACTGTGAGTTTGCTGTCTTTTCACTGTTCATATTTTTTATCTTTTTTTCTTAGACTTAACATTTTATATAAGGGCTTGGTGGTGATGAACTCCTTGAACCTGACCTTATCTGAGAAGCACTTTATCTGCCCTTCCATTCTAAATGAAAGCTTTGCTGGATAGATCAATCTTGGATGTAGGTCCCTGCCTTTCATGACTTGGAATACTTCTTTCCAGCCCCTTCTTGCCTGTAAGGTCTCTCTTGAGAAATCAGATGACAGTCTGATGGGAACTCCTACATAGGTGACTGTCCCTTATCTCTTGCTGCTTCTAGGACTCTCTCCTTCATTTTAATCTTGGCTAATGTAATTGTGATGTTCCTTGGTGTGTTTCTTTTTGGGCCCATCTTCTTTGGGACTCTCTGAGCTTCCTGGATTTCCTGGAAGTCTATTTCCTTTGCCAGATTGGGGAAGTTCTCCTTTATTATTTGTTGAAATAAGTTTTCCACTTGTGGCTGTTCCTCTTCCCCTTCTGGTACCCCTATAATTCGGATGTTGGGACATTTAAAGGTGTACTGAATGTTCCTAAGCCTCTCCTCATTTTTTCGAATTCTTGTTTCTTCATCCTTTTTTCTTTTGTCATTTTTTTCCTCCTTCTGGTCCACTTCTTTGATTTGATTCCCAGTTTCCTTTCCATCACTATTGGTTTCCTGTGCATTTCCCTTCATTTTAATTAGTTTAGCTTTTATTTTTTCCTCTAATTTGTGACTAAAATCAACCAGTTCAGTGAGCATCCTGATCAGCAGTGTTTTGAACTGTGCATCTGTTAGGTTGGCTATCTCTTGGTGGCTTAGAAGTATTGACTCTGGGGCTTTGAGCTGTTCTTCTGCTTGAGCCATATGTTTTGGTCTGTTCACTCCTGTTACATATGAGGGGGTGGAACCTTAGGTGTTCACCAGGTTGGGGCAACCCAGTTGCTATGTTGTGATGCTGTATGTGGGGGTGGGGTCAGAGAGGGGCAATGGCATTTGTTCTTCTCCCTCTCAGATTTCAGTTCCCTCTGCTGCTTCCCGCAAGCAAACCAGGCCCCCCCTGGTGCCAGCTCCCAGGTTTGTGGACCTGAACATCCTCTGGGACCCTGTGGGTCTCTCCAGTGAACTCTCTGTGAGCCTGGGAGCTTCTCCTGGCACCTCCACCCGAAAGTTTCTTTGATTGGTGCTTCCATGCTTTAATTCCCATCACTGGGGCCTTAGCCTGAGCAGGCCATAGTTTGCTCATCCCATATTTAGGTAAATGTGATGTTGCTGGGGCATAGCATGGGGTGATCACTTTATGTATCATTATCCTAACAGACCGATGGTCTAATTCCAGCATCTCCATCAGTGTCTGCTTCTAGGGACATTTGGGTCAAGCAGTACATAAAAAAGTTCTTAACGTTTTAGAACAGAGATATGGAAGGGGGATGTATTTACTCCATTTATCTGAGCATCACCCAAGTGAGTTCGTACTGGCGTGCCTGGGCCATGCATCCACATGCCTGCACAACTAATTATCTAACTTCCAACAACAGAGCACTGCAAGTAGCTTCTAGCTAGGCCAAAGAGAAATATGTGCTGATGAAATACAGTCAGTAGTAGCAAGGAAGAGGCTGATCTGGGAGGGAGGGGATGGGGAGACACCAGCCCAGGTCTGCAGGCCTTTGTGAGTGAGCAAGGGAGCCTAACATTTGGGTCCATGTCCAGGTGACTTCAACTGGCCTGAGTGGAGGCATTTCTCCCCGCATTCCCTAGATGTGGCCTGTCCCTTCCACGCACACACTGGGAACACCACAGTTCCTGTGGATGCAGCCCAAGGCCATACCTAAGACATAAAGGCTTGCAGGTACTGCCATCATGTGGTAACTCCATATTATAAATTTTTCTATGAAAATTATTTTACTGAAATCAATAGAAATATCATTATATTTCTATATTCTCTCAGAATATGATTATAACACAGCAGAAACTCACATAAAAATATGTATGTAATGATAAGTTTTCCTCTATATGTTTCCTGACAGACATTGACCACAACTGTAGGTTCTTTAAAAGTTCATTGAAATTATGAAAGTGGTAATATCTTAAGCTCCTCTGGAGAGAATGTGTTTTCACTTGGGTGCATGTAATCTCTTTGGGAAGTGATGGCAGGGAGCCAGAAGGAGAAAAAAGAAGAAAAGCGAGACTAAGAGAAAATGAAGAAGTAAAAAAGGTGAGTTATTGAGCTACCACTGCGGGAAACTGAAGATCAGTCCCAGCACGGATATTCTGAAGATCAACCTAGAATCCATGTCAGAATTATTCTTTTGAATCACAGTGTGGGGATTTATCAATAACCCACGTTTCCCATTGACAGAGAGTTTCCACAGGGGTCTTCAATCTCCCTGAACTTATAGGCTTTGCTTGTGCAAAATGGACTGTCTTTAACAGCTTAAAGAAAAGCCTGAGAGAGGATAGGAGAAAAACATTTGAGATGGCTTTATGCTGATACCATGACTTCACTGCTACAGTGGGTTTGAGAGCAGAGGAAAGAGACAGAAAGAGCAGATAAGTATCAGAAATAACTGAAGCCTAAGTATTAGCAAATTTCAATGATACTTAAAATTCTGGGTTAAAAAAAGTTTAACCTTTTCAAAAACAATTTAAAAGTTGACAAACTAGTAATGAACAATATTACTAAGCTGAATTCCAAGGTAAAATGGGGACCCAAAGCGTTCAGAGAAACATTGAAGCCGCTTTTTCCTGATAGCATGTTACAAACAAGGGAATGCACCATTAGTTTTAAAATAAGGGGACAGAGTTCAAAAGCCAGAGCTTGTTCAAAGTAAAAAGTCTATCCAAATATAATATACAGCATAGTTAACACGCTATTGTATATTTGAAAGTTGCTATGAGAATAAATCTTTTTTTTTTAAATACCATTTATTGAGCACTTCATATATGCCAGGAGCTCTTTTTTTAAAAAGTGTATTTTATTGATTATGCTATTACAGTTTTCCCAATTTTTTCACCCCTTCTCCGCCCTGTACCCCACCACCCTCCAGCATTCACCCCCTTAGTCCATGGGTGGTAAATATAAGTTCTTTGGCTTCCCCATTTTCTGTACCATTCTTAACCTGCCCCCCCAACCGTCTATTTTGTACCTACAATTTATGATTCTCATCCCCTGTACCTTTCCCCCACTCTCCCCTCACCCTCTCCCCACTGAGAACCCTCCATGTGATCTCCACTTCTGTGACTCTGTTCCCGTTCTAGTTGTTTGCTTAGTTTGTTTCTGCTTTTTTTTTAGGGCCACTGTTGATAGTTATGAGTTTGTTGTCATTTTACTGTTCATAGTTTTTTATCTTTTTTTCTTAGATAAGTCCCTTTAATCATGTAATAAGAGCTTAGTGATGATGAACTCCTTTAACTTGACCTTATCTGGGAAGCACTTTATCTGCCCTTCCATTCTAAATGATAGCTTTCTGAACAGAGTAACCTTGCATGTAGGTCCTTGTCTTTCATGACTTGGAATACTTTATCAGTACAGGGTGTTGGGAGAAAAAAATAATCTAGTAGAAAATGTCCTTTAGATGTTGAAAGACAAATCAGTTATTTTTAACACTGGCTGCACATAAACATTAACTGGGCCACTTTTAAAAAATATTCATCCTTGAACTCTGGATCCATCAAAGAGACTCTGATTTAATAGGTCATGACTTGGAGCTGACCATAAGTGTTTTTTACAGATGCTTCGCCAGGTGAGTCAAGGAGGCAGACACCTGGAATAAACCTTCAAAGCAAGTGTGAACTAGAAGTAAATCTGTCCCTCACTCCCAGTGGATTATGCGCAACATTGATGTGGGCCAATTAGGAAGAGAGAAAGAGCATCCGTGGGAGGCGGGGGGGGGGAAGACTGAAAGATCCCTGAGGAGCTATAAACTGACAAACTGGCTATCACATATTTGCAACCTGAGGTTCACTTTAAAATGTATGTTTTTAGTTCTGGC